TTTTAACAAGATCTCCACACACACCTTAAAGTTTGAAAAGTGCTTAAAACTTAAAACTCTGTTCAGTATAAAGCGAGCGATAGTAGCCATCCATGAGTAAAACCAAGATCAGTCCAAGTTTTATATAGAATGTCTTTGTTCCAACTTCACCATTAATCGAGAGGTAAAATTTTACCCCTTTGGATAAACGCTGTAACATCCCTTTTACCCTAACCTCATTTGATCATCAGCCCTAATTATCTAAACTATGGCCCAGACTTAGGAATCATTTAAAAACCACTCTAGGCAGCCAACATGGAAGCCTTGATATCTACATATCAGAGTTTCTACGTTTTACACGTTGGTGAGATCTTAGACCCTTACAATTCTAATAATCTTGGTGCTGTGGTTCCCTGCACACACAAGATTGGAAGCAGAAAGCTAAAAGCAGGGCATAGGGGAAGAAGTAAAGTGCGAGTTTGGGGCGAGGTTTACAAGGAGAAGTGACAGTAGAAAGAATAGCTTTAACATTTTCACAGTTATTTAGTTTTACAAATCTTGTTCCCACCTCAAAAACAGTAATTCAAATCATAGAGAAGTGATTGTCAGACCTGGCTGCACTTTAAATCACTTGAGGAGACCTTAAAAAGAAAAGTTATACCCAAGCCTGCATCTCAGGAACTCTGGTCTCATTGTCTGGGGTGGGGTCCAAGCACAGGTGTTTTATAAAAGCTTCCCAGGTGATTCCAATTAGCAGTCAGGGCTGCGATTCACTAGCTTAATGATTTGGGGCCATTGTTACGGCCCAGAGGCCTGGACGCCTTCTCAGGCCCTCTACAGCTTGCTGCAATCATGGATGATGGTTACAAAGATTTTCTCTAAAGAGGAAAACATTTTATACGTTAAAAGTGATTTTAGCAGAAAATAAGATAACCTAGAATTAAATGATACAGAAACACACGTTCAGTTCTTGGGTCTAGTTAGAGAACTCTAGAGAGAACTGGCAGAATGAGGATGATACCTGTCATCTCTCCCTCCTGGTCCTCCCTCTGTAGACCAACAGTTAACGTGCCCATGAATCACTTGGGGATCTTGTAACCATGCAGATTCTGACTCAATAGGTCTGGGGAGGGCTCGAGACTCTGCAGTTCTCACGAACTTCAGGTGATGCTAATGTAAGTGGTCCAGGGACCACACTTAGGGGAGCAAGGCTCTTGTTCATACTGATGGCCATAATTCACCCTCAAGCCCCTTCTTTGGAACCCAGACAAGAAAGATGGCTTCCTCACTCACAAAGAATGAATTCCACTGGGGTCCTTGGTACCAAGAGCCACTATGCTCAAAACTATAGGCTTTCCTGAACTAAGGTCATGAGTTAATACTTATCTTCTGTTAATCATTCCCTCTTCCCACTAGGCAACTTTATCAGAGGTTCAGGGACTGCTGAGGTAGAAATGTGCTTAGAGAGCACCTAGCTTGGCCCATTCATTACAAAAGTGTAACAGTGAGATGGCAAAGGATGGCAAAATACCCCGGTCCAAGGTCAAAATTGATTCAAAGCCAGAAAACAAAGCCTCCATTCTAAAAAAAAAAAAGAGTCAAAGTAACTGCTTTGTGTTACTTTCTACATGAAACATTCATTTGATTATCCTCAGGGGAGCTGGCAGACTAATAAACAAAGCGTTAGAAGGAATATACAACTCTTAGGCAAGGCTGACTGGCTGCAGAGCCCTAAAATGAGGCAAAGAACATGCTGGAGAGGCTCCCTGTCTCTGAGACCACAGGGCAGACACTGTTATTCCTCTCATGAAATTTCCGTAGAGAAGGCTCAGGCCTCCACAGAAGCTGCCCCAGGAACTCCTTAGTCATCATTCTTTCACTTTTCATTTTCTGGAACCCCTTCTCAAATGATTTTTTAAATCCTCCCCAATAATGATGCCTTCTCTTGCTCAATAATAAGCAGCCCTTGTGTGAAGCTGAAGAAGTATATTGTTCTTTCAAGGACAGGGACCACATTCCCAGAACATTCAGAAAAGAAGTGTAGCCAGCCAAATGGGTCTGATTCTCGCCCCATTATTTGTTCCTTTGTGGCCTCTTAGGAAAGTAGAACAACTGCTAATGAAATCGACAGACCCGGTGGCATTCTGGGTCCCAGAGCCATGGATGTGTCTGAGTTAGTGACCCCATGGCTCCTGGGTGTCCCCTTCCCTTGCGACAAGAGGCCATACTAGCAGTACTGTCTAAGCTGGACTTGTTACCATTTTTTTACCTTAATGCTCAGGACTGGGCTGAGACTTCCTCACAGAGCATATTGCCACATTGTTTTGTTCCCAGTGGCGATCTGGAACTGGAAGTAAAAACAACCCACAGGGAAATCGGCCTGAAAGCCACAAATCTGAATACCGTTAAGTATTAATAGCAGTAGGGGCTGCACTGGGAAAGAGCTTTGCTGGCCTGGTGTCTTCTCCCTCCACTCCCAATTTTACTTGGTTTTTGTCTTCCATTTTACATTCCTGGTAAATCCAATTATACCTCTATTACCATAAGCCACCACAGGGCCTTCTTGGGCTGTCTGGATAGGCAGAGAAGTAGATACATATATCTTTGCTGCCCGGGGATCAGATATTAAGCTCATTTCCACTGTCATGACATTTGAAAAGACCACAAATTATTTTCTAGGTGCCTAGTGCGAGTGACAGGAAAGAGCTAGAAGGCGAGGCACCAAGCTGCTACCAGTGGAGATGTTGGAGCCGTGAGGCCAGAGTTCGTTTTACACTTTTTTATTTTGTACTTTATTTTTTTAATTGCCTTAATGAACACGTGTTATGGCAAAATGAAATAAAATTGTTTTCCTTGTTTGCTGGAATTTACAGAGAGTCAGTTTGGTCACATAACCCAGGGACTTTTCAAACCCACTGATCTTCGAGTGGAGGGAAGGGTTTCTTTTCAAGTATTGATTTTGAACGTTTTCACTAATGAATTCAAAGCCTATGAAGAGAAAAACCCATGTTTCTCCACCACCATGTTTCACAATAGCTATTAGATGACCACAGCAGCATCAAAGCTGTGGAAAACGCATGGCTTTTGTGTAGGAGTGGAAGGGGGGGAGGGGCTTCAAAAGTTGCACTTCGCCAAGGACATGGATTGTGACACCCAAACCCACAAGCTGAAGGTGATGACATGAAGCTGGGGGAGTCCAGGCCCTGTTGAGGCTTGCAAGGGTCTCTTCTGATCCCAGAAGACGTGGAGGGGGCCCCAGCTCTAGGGTGCCTGGCGTGCACTGAGTCACGGCCTGGGGTGTGGCTTGGAAGAGCCACACACCGTGGTTGGCTGGGATGGTGCCGTCTTGGAGGAAGACGCCAGCGCCTCCGGACAGAAGAAACAGCCAAGGCTACAGACCAGGGTCCCTCCCATCAGTGGAGCGTTCGGGACGGAGGGCAAGGCTGGCTGGCCTTGAAAGACTCCCGGGTCTGTGCTCCCAGACACTGCCAGGATCCCGGGCACGAGTCCGGCCCTGGCGCAGGCGCAGCTCCGGATCCTGCGGGCGGCTCCACCACGCCCTGTGCCGGGCGCATCCTGCCCTGCGCGGCCGCCTTAGCCCGCCCTGCGCCCCGCCTGCCCTGCTGCCCAGTCTCCTCCCGCCCTGCCGCCTGGGGGCGCCCGCGCCCTCCTGCTATAAAGCGTGCAGGCCCAGCGACTCATCATCAGCAAGCGAGAGGCTCTCCGACTGCGCCTGCTGCTTAGCCCGCGCGAGGCGGCATGGGCGAGCTCCCGTTCAGTGTTCCAGCGGCCTTGCATCCGGACCACCTGTGGATCTGGCGCAAGTCCGTGTATGTGGACGAGAACCAGCGCACATGGCTGCCCATATCCATCAAGGTACAGCCGCTTTGGGGCCCGGCCGGGCAGGGCAGCATGGGTGTCACCCTCCCTGGCCAGCCCCAGGGTGCCAAAGACGCCCCAGGTTGTGCACGGCTTCCAGGAGCCCCTCAGGTGCGGCGGCAAGGAGGCCCGGGAGGCCTGATCTGCTCGGGGCGACCGGCGGGGCTCACAGATGAAACCAGTTTGAGCTGAGCTCTAAGGAGGAGTAAGTAGCTCTCCAGGCCAGGAAGGAGTGTGGGGAAAAGTCAGGTTGGACAAAGAATGGGGCCCCAGTGTCTCTGGAGTGTGTGAGAATGTGATCCTGAGTAAAATAGGGATGTTGTGGGTGTCAGGGTCGTAATCCGTAAAGTGGGAATAATATCTCTCTACAATGATTCACACGCGTGTCCGATTATCAGTCTCCTTATGTGCGCCCAGAAATCTGTATTTTAAAAGAACCCTCAACAGATACGATCACCAAGTTTGGGAACCACCGCCCTAGAGTTTGGGGTGAACAAACTTCGCAGACTTACATTATACAAATAATCGAGTAGTAGAAAAGCCAGTATTGAATAAATGTTGACTTTGTTTTATGCATGATGACTTAAGATGGAACTTAACGTTAACTTTTTAAAAAGAAATATATCTTTCTTCAAGTACTTTCCATCATAGCATTAGGTGAAAAATGCCGAAACTCTTTCCATATGTAAACCTAAGTAAGAAAGTATAAAAGCAAAGTTAAAATCTATAATATTAGAACTGTATGTAATAGCAAACAGCAAAAAGTTATTGAGTAGTGACTGTGTCCCCGTTTTACATGTGAGGAAACAGGCATACAAAATGTAAATTTGTCCAAAGTAGGACTGCTGCTTAGATAATGGGGTTGGGAGTCCANCTACCCCACCAAATATTTCAAATCCCTATTTTTTTAAGGGTGGTTTTACATAGTAACAGACAAATGGGACAGAATAGAGCCCAGAGACACATCCATCTCTACATGGGAACTTGTATTCAGTAGTGGTGGTGTCAGAAATATTATGTGGAAAGGTAAATTATGTACTAGTGTTTGAGAGATTGGCTAAATATTTAGAAAAATTAAGACACAACTAGATTCTGAATTAGGATATAAAATATACATATTAGTATATACAATAGTATACTGTATTTATATACCCCATATAAAAAAAAGAGTCCCACACCATGTTAATTGACTAGAATTCCATTTAAAATGGCCTTAAAACTCAAAAGCTAGGTCAAGAGATATTACGTAAATGGTTCAGAGGACATTTTCAGTGGGAAAGCTAAAAGCAATACAAAGTCAATATATTTATCTCAGTTTATATATGTTAGAAGCATGAACTTACAAGCCAATTTCCTAGGAGGAATAAAGACATATATGAAATCTTTTTCTCGGGGATAATGAATGAGATCAAATTAAAGAAGAACTGAGGTTAGAACAGGAAGAGCCAAGCTGATCTGGAGTACCGGTAATGCTGTGGGTATAATCCCCAAAGGGTGGAATAATCCCAGGTTTGCAAAACGCTTCTGATACAATTGTAGGTAAACGTTAACTTGCGTCTGGGCAATAGGACCCACATTTCCAGCTCCAAGTGTCCGTCGCAAGTTTACTACATGCTGCTGACTCTACCAGCTAGTCAGGGTCCACCCTTTGGTGCATTTTGAGTAGAGGGTATGGGTGCGTTGGCTTTTGCATTTGTGCGTTGTGTGTGTACTGGGTTAGTATCAGGTCTTGGGGCTCAGAGGTGGCTCATAGACCCTCAGCCTCACCTCGAGCTTGTTGGAAATGTGGTAACTCAACCCCACCCTCCGAATTAGAATCTGCATTTTAACAAGATCTCCACACACACCTTAAAGTTTGAAAAGTGCTTAAAACTTAAAACTCTGTTCAGTATAAAGCGAGCGATAGTAGCCATCCATGAGTAAAACCAAGACTTTCCACCTTTCTCACCATCTCTGATGCATTCGGAAGAATCCCAGCTAATCTTCCAGTCTTTGGTTTTGTCCATTCAGCTACTTAACATATCC